GGAGAGAAACCGTATCACTGCACTCCTTGTGGGAAGAGTTTCACTCAATTATCTTCTTTACGCAGTCATATAAAATACAATCACCGCAAGTAGATCATCTTCAGATCCAGCACTTTCAGGTCTAATGCTGTGTCCTCACCAAACGTGACACAATAATACCGTCAAGCAATAAAATCTCTTCAAAATCTGTCCTAACCAGCCACAACGAGCGACAGGACAAAGAAACATCTAAATTTGTAACAGTGAATAAAGTTAATCTTCAAGACCAGAAGTTTTAACTGTGAGAGAATTATTCTTGTATATAATTTTGCTTCATGGTATATACAAATATCAATATACTTTATTATGAGTTAAATGTTATGCAAAATGTTTGTTTATACTTTTATTAAGGAAAATATTTTTTTTACAGGTTCAAACTGTTCTTGTTATTTTTCTTTTGTAGAGAGATGTCACATTTGTTTACACTTTGTATTTTCTCAAGTTAACTTTCATTGTTAATTGTTTTTGTCTGGTGAAAAAGACAAATAAACATTTGATTCTTCTTTAAAGGTGCATTGCGCAACATTTCATGTTAAAACCCGTTTTTCTAACCCATACATGCTTAAACAATTGCCTGATGGGCTGAATGAGCCCTTCTCTGATCACTGCGATTGCCTCTATAATCCTGTACAGTAAAATAAATAAGAGGGATTCAGGCCGGAACGTGAGACTGGGCTTGACGTCATGCGCGTTCGCGCTCACCTGGCTATGTCTGGCAGGTTTGTGTATTCGCCGGTGCCGCCATTCTCCATATCAGCGAAGACAACTTGAGCGACAAAACTTTAGTCAACTTTCGACAAAAGTAGAAGATGGATTCTAAGAGACCGGCTTGTAGTTTATTCCAAACCCCAACTCAAACTCCACGTAAGACAAAGAAAAGAAAACTTTTGTCTAGTGCCACCAAAAGGGCCAAATTGGAGTCAGACAGGCGTCGAAATAAGACGAGAGTCAACATCGGGAAGGCTTTCAACAAATGGAGAGATCTAGGGCTCAAACGGGATCCTCAGTTGGCTTTTTTCTTGATAAAACGGTTCATGAACGTGTTTCCATAATAATACAATCATAAGTGGATACAGTAAACACATAAAATAGTTCAACATGGAGATAGATGGAAACAAAAACCGAAGTTTTCTACTACCCCTGTTTTCCCCTCACACATAAGTGTGTAATTTACTCAAATGCCTTTCCTTTCATATATTTAAAATGACTTGCAGATTTATAACTTTATTACCTCTGAAGACATTATGACTGTAAACAAAAGATTTGTGCGGCTGATGCTCCTTTGGTTATGAACAGCTCGTGCTTGTGCAAGTGTGCGTGTGGTCCATGAGCGTGCACACCTCTGGTTGCAGTTTCGCTTGTCGCCAGAGGGGGCATAGTTCTGCAAAAACTCAGAAACTTGCGCAATGCACCTTTAATCTTCTTGTACTTCTTCTTCAGAAGTACTACATACTGAGTTCAATTTAGGTATTGGAACTGTTGCAATTAATTATTTTGACAGCTATAAAAAGTTAAACATTCCCTGATTACTTTTTCGGTTGCAAGTTTTTGAACCAGACAAACTCAGAATTGTTAAAGAGTTAATTGTTTACATAAAATTCAGTGACAGTTGAATAATCTTTGAAGTTCAGTATGTAGTTATCGGCATGTCTCATCCATGAAGATGCAACAGTGGAGAATAAGATATTGGGGGGTTTTGGGAACCAGAACTAAGCTGACTGACCAAGTTAAACTTTAGCTATAGCGTGAGCCTGAAGGTAAGGAAGAATAATAAATAAAATTGGCCAAATTCACTAAGTATTCCATGATCTAATTCACTACTATCTCAATAACAATGAAATACAAATCAACACACCGGGTTTCACGTTCCGTTGAGAGCAGCGGAGCTTTTATTATGCTTATCAGCCGCTTCTTTCGTTCATGCATATGTTGGGTAACACTGCGCTTTTTTTACAAGGTTAAAACAATCATGCTAAATACATTTGAGTGTGTTGAAACTTATGTTACGTCGTTACTGTGCATTCGCTCGGTAGCAGTGCTGTAAGCTAGATCGATATTAGAGTATCATATTAACAAAAGCTGGATGACTTGTGTTGCTAAATGTCACACAATTACTTTAAAACATTGTAGGCCTATGATAGAGAAAATGCTGTATTAGTGTTACCAAAAATAAAGCTCTTTATTGTTAAAATTATTGCTATGTTATTTACTTGACATCGTGTTGTCTCCGAGGCATGTTATTAGGGACTTTAAGCAACAGCCTCTGGTGGAACGGCAACGGCATTCTGTCGTTCTATTGCGCATGCGCGACATTAACTGCTACTTAGCGACGTTCTACTGTAACTGTCTACAACGGGAGAACAGCTGATTTGCCGTAGTCGATACTACGTGACAGATTAAGAAAGCTAATGTTATATTTTAGGTTATGTGGCATTATAATCGTTTCTGTATATCATTAAATGCCCAAATCAACCCTTCTCTTACTTTTTTAAAATCTGTTTATTTTTTGTATTTTGTCTGATGATTAAATTATCCCCTATGCCGTCCTGTTTACTGTTGCTTAGTGATTTTTGCGCTCTTTAGCTACGGCAGTTAACCGTTTACTTCCGGCTGCTGTTGCCGTTCTATCAGCAGCTGTTGCTTAAAGTCCCAACATGGTAGGCTACTCGTCGGAAAACAAGAGATTTAAATGATAATACTAACAGTGTTGAGTATAACAATGATTCATTTTCTGTCGACAAAGTAGGGTGACCACACGTCCTCTTTTTGGACCTAAAAAATGCGTTCAGCCGCGATTTCTAGATCGCCCAAAATGTCCGGGATGATCAAATGGTCAATGAAACGAGATTTGATAAACATTCACATTGATTCTCAACATCAGGAGACCAAGCTGAAAATGATCTTAAGGTCTTATATTTTACTTCTTTTTTTTCTCTTTTTTTTAATCTATTTATTTATTTTTATCAATGAACTTTAAAAACACCTAAATTAAATAATATTGAGAATGGCAGATTTTTTAGCATAAATCAATCAAAATCTCTTTTATAGTGTCTGATACAGTTTATTATTATTTTTTTTCTTATAACTTTGGTAACAGGGTTGATGAATGCTGTCAATATTACTATGGATTAAAATGAGTATTTTTATGTAGCCATTGTCTACTTGCACTTTTTAAGGATTTATTAAAATGTAGTTACACTATAATTTCAGATGTGATGTTGGAGAATAAACTGTCTAATAAATTATTTTTCACCCTACACATGACTGAGATTGAATTATTGTTTACTTTAACTTTTAGAGTTATTTTAGTGTATGTTATCCACCTTATTCCTGACAAGCTTACTGCGTTTTGAATTATGGGCGGCACTTCCGGTTTGGGGAACTTCCATTCAAAAAGACTGAAACGAATCATTTCAAATCATAAGGTTGCCCTACAAATAAACCTGATCCGTCAGTTTGACTTAATGAGCAATCAGTTTTCTTTCATGTTTTATCTAAGAATAACATGAGAATAACGTAACACTTGGTATTTTAACGTGACATGTTATAACAAGAATATCCATAGTAAGAGCTCTGCATTCTTTTCCTCATGATTATTTTCTTTTTTTCCTTTTGAATTCCGCTGTAATAGTATGACAAAGGTCAACACATACTGCACATTTGTGGTCTGTTCTCCCGATTTAATTTACTATGTATACCATTAATAATTCACTGGGATCCTCTCCAAATCCTCACGTCTCTTTCCAGGTTTGGTTTCACGGGTAAATACAATTTATTATCTGTCAAAATGACTGAAATCACTTTAAAATAGTATCACGTAATGCTGAAGTAAAACACTTTTTTATTAAGGCAACGTTACATAATACAGATCACCACAGTGATATTTAACCGACCGATTTAGCTGTGGAAAGTTGCTTTTGAGATTATTCATGGTCTGTTGAAAGTTAGCTTGTTGATGCTTTTACACTTTTAAATGTCCTTTTAATGTTCAATGGTTGAAGGGTGAGTAGAATAATGTAATGTCATCGTAAAAGGTTTAAAAATCTATTATTGCGTCCATAGAGCTTAGTCTTTCACTGATTGTTTACATCTTACCGGAAGTTACACCCATAATTCGCGCAAAGCGTCATGGGGCGCAGGAATACTGTGTTTTTGTATGAATTGTTCTTTTGTAAGAATGGGCGCGTTTATCTCGCATCACCGCGCTGACGTCATCAGTAGTTTCCTTCCTCGTTCAGCGCGTTTGTTGTGTCTTCTGAGGTGAGTTCTGCAGGTCAGATATTTCGCGTATTTACACACACATAAAATACACTTTACATAGATGTTTCAGCAACAACTACAGGGTTATTTCTGAATTGTTTTAATCGGATAAAGTGCCAAATCTGGCGTCTGTAGACTGATTTAGTTCAGCACGAAACGAACATCTTAATGTTGAAATCATTCAATAATTTTTAGAGTAATTATGTTAGAGTTATCTAATGTATGTGACCTCAAACTTTAAGTTTCGATCTGTGAGGGAATTTCATGAGGATAGAAACATTTATGCTTTCTTGGTATAATAATGTGGTAATAAATTAATGATGGATATAATCAGTTATACGGTTAATGACAGGAATCAGAAAAACCGAACTCTAAAAATGGGTGTCACATTGTAGTTTGTATGTTCGTGTCAGATGTGAAAAGTAATACCATAATCTTTTTAAATATAAATGATTTATTATTATTTAAGGTTATATTCTGACTCCATCTGAGTGGTATTTTTACCACAGACACCCAAAATTACTACAGGATAAGTATGCAGCTTCCTTTGTTTTTTTTAGTGGAGTTATCATTATTTTCCCAATGCTCACATCAGTTCACAAATAAATGCTGGAATATTCCCATAAGCATACAATATACCTCATGTGTAGAAATTATTTTATAAAAATGCATTAAAACTGTTATTTTTATTTTCATTTCAGGCCTGATGGAGGAAAATGAGGAGAGTGAAGAGGAGAAACATCATGTCAATACTGAAGAAAAAACTCCCTCACAGACTGAAAGTATTTCTTCACTAAAAAGAAACAAATATTTCATCTGCCATCAGTGTGGAAAGAGTTTCACACAACAAGGACGCCTTAAGAATCACATGAACATCCACACTGGTGAGACACTGCATGAATGTGATCAATGTGGTAAAACATTTTTGTGGGCTTCAGCCCTAAAGAGCCACCTGAAAGTTCATTCACAGGAGAAACCACATTCATGTTCTTTGTGTGGAAAGAGTTTAAAATACAAACAGAGTCTTGAGCTTCACATGAGGATCCACACTGGAGAAAAACCGTTCACATGTGATCAGTGTGGGAAGAGTTTTAGACAATCATCAAACCTTCAGGAACACATGAACATCCACACTGGAGAAAAGCTGCATGAATGTGATCAATGTGGGAGAATATTTTCGAGGGCTTCAGGCCTGAAGAGCCACATGTTAGTTCATTCACAGGAGAAACCACATTCATGTTCTTTGTGTGGAAAGAGTTTTTCACATCTGCACAATTTAAAACTTCACCAGAAAACACATACTGGTGAAAAAGCTCATAAGTGCTTTGAGTGTGGGAAGAGTTTTATTACAACTGAACGTTTAAAACTACACTGGAGGACTCACACTGGAGAGAAACCTTACAAGTGTTCACACTGTGACAAGAGATTTCGTCGGTCAGGACATGTGAAAACACACGAGAGGATCCACACTGGAGAGAAACCGTATCACTGCACTCCTTGTGGGAAGAGTTTCACTCAATTATCTTCTCTACGCAGTCATATAAAATACAATCACAGCAAGTAGATCATATTTTGATCCAGCACTTTCAGGTATAATGCTGTTTCCTCACCAAACGTGAGACAATAATACCGTCAAGCAATAATATCTCTTTAGTATAAATCTGCCCTAACCAGCCAACGTGACTGGAAAAAGACACATGACCTTATTTGTCACAGTGAATAAAGTTCATCTTCAAGACCAGTGGTTTCAACTGTGAGATTCACATCAACTCAAAGATGGAGTTCCTCACTAAAGACCATCTAGACTTTTTATTCTTGAATATCATTTGCTTTGTGGTATAAATAAATATCATTCTACTTTATTCTAAGTAAAATATGATATGATGCATATATCACTTGTAGTTTGTTTGCACTATTATGAAGGAAAATATTATTTTTAACAGGTTCAAACTGTTTTATTAAACTGTTTGTGTTAATCTTTTTTTTATGTAGATCCGTCTAATTTAATTACATTTTGTATTTACTCCACCAGTTAACCTTTATTGTCCATTTATCTACAAAAATAGCTGATTTAATCATTTTAGCTACATTTAAAAGTCATTAAAATATATTGTGATTGCTTTGGGCTTTACATTTCTCGATAAAGCTTTTAAATGCCTATAACATCTTTCACCCCACATATCACTGCTGTCTGTCTACATCAGTAACTGTTTTACCATTATTTTTGTTTTATGATTTTTTATATTGATATTTTATACAGTTTTTGGTGTGTTTTAATAATCTGCCGTTGATCTCGTCTCGCGGTGATGACGTCACCATTCGCGCGCTCCCTTCATTCTATTCTTCTGAGGTAAACAGCGTACACGCTATCAAGTAATTGTTAAATATTCTACACAGTTTAAAGTACATTTACACGGCTATTTCTGAATGGCTTCTATAATGTTCAGCGCTCTTCGTGTGTCTGATAACTAAAACACTTAAAGAAGAAGAAATGTATTTCTCACATACAAAACGGTAAGATGCTAGCGAACGGTAACTTAGTTATTAGGAAATTGAACTATATTTAGATTCATATCGGCGAATTACAATGTTTGATAAAGATGGGTGCCACTAGTGTCTGTCTTTATATTCCTGCAATGTTACTGTATAAATTGAGAAATAATAGTTCAATAGTAGATCACTTTTAGGTTTTCAGCATTTATTCTGACTGTAACAATCTGTTTATTGCAGCAAATACTTATAATAAAGTGAGATGATCTGCTGCTGATCCTGAATGGCTTGTCGAATGAGTGTTGATTGTCTACGGATCATCACTATTATCAGAGCAGCTGAAAAGCCTCTTTATTTCATGTCAATAGATCCTGTTTTCACCTCATTCATTATGCTGATGTCTTCAGATCTGTAAATTGCCACATTAAGCTAATTTTATTGGTGTCAACAGACTTGAACAAACGACACGATCAGCTATTGTGCCATCTACTAGAAATAGCCTAGGTAAGTATCATAACAGCATTTATTCAATCTTTGATGAACCATGTTCCATATAAAAACAAATAGTTATGTCAGACTCAATTGGTGGGTCATTTCTTTCACACTTGTTGTTCTAAGTTTATTTTTTTCTTATTTATATTTGGTATCTGTATTCTGTTCATTGTTGTACTTTTAATTTTTTCTATAATTCTTTGCCAATATGTTAATGAGAGGTAAGATCCTAGGAATAAAGTATTTGGATGAAATTTCTTAGGTATAATTTATGAATTCATAAAAACACTGTCCCCTGGTTTCACATAAATAGCATAAGCCTAGTCCTAGACTAAAATGCATTATTGAGCTGTTTTAACTGAAAGCGACATGAACTGACATCTTAAAATATGTCAGTGAGTGCCATTGTTTTGTCTCAAGATGCAGATCAGTAATGTTCTAGATCTAAGGCATGTTTTTAAAGGGACTTTAGAAATACCCACACTTATGGTGCTTTTCCACTGCTGGTACGGCTCGGTACGGTTCGACTCGGCGCGGAACGGTTCGGCTCGCTTCGCTTTTCCACTGCGTGGTACAACTCGACTCGGTAAGGCACAGTTCGGTTCGCTTTAGCTCGGTTGCTTTTCCACCGCAGTTAGTACCCCTTCAAAGTGGGTGGGACTGATCTTTATTTTGTCCCTACACTGTAGGTCCGGTGATAGCCGTGTGCGGCTAAGAGCTGAGCTACTTATTGGAACACTTTTTCATTCCGTTTTGCCCCATCCAGCTCTCGCTGGATCCGCTCCTCGGCAACCAACGAGAGGAACGTCTGCACCTCGTCCACTGACCACGATTCAGCCATTTCTTTTTAAAGTTTAAAAAACAAATGCTACCGCGTTGGCTGTTGTCTACTGGTTATTTAAATCTAGCGGGTTTAGTGTCTCGTGTCGCAAATCCAATGACGCTGGTAGTGACGATTCTGTCTGACCAATCAGTGATCTGCAGTGTTTTTACGTCAAATTTTAGTACCGGTACGGTACGCTTGGAACCTCAACAGACCAGGTACCATTTAAAGCGAGCCGAAGCGAGCCGTACCGTACCGTACCGTACCATGCAGTGGAAAAGCGCCAAAGCGTGCCGTACCGAACCGAACCTTACCGTAATATGCAGTGGAAAAGCGCCATTATACCTAAAACAAAGCGGAGGTCTCTCCATAATTCAAACGCTCAGCCGATGTTGATCCGTGTTTTCGTCCGAAGTTGATCCGATTCACGTTTGGCCTGAAGGGCTGATAAAACTTTTTTTTGTTTTTTATATTTTTGTGGAGTTTGTGTTCAGACTGATCTCATGAAATGGCGTATGTATGACACGCCAATTCGTATTTCCATTTTTGGCGTGCTATCAACACGCATCATCGCTTTTCAGCGTGTTTATCAACGCCTTTGACTTAACGTTATATTACTGTATTATGTATATATAAATATATGACCTACCCCAACCCCGTCCCTAAACCTACCCGTCACTGGGGTTAATACCATTTATGAGTCTTCCCCTACCATCCTAGGAAAATAAATATCGCTCCACAGATGTAGATATAGATTTTGCTTCGTTTCGCTCGGACATTTAACGGTGTACACATACACGCGGAATCACTCGGACGTTTAATGGCGTAGACATACACGCAAAAGATTTCGGCGTGGACATACACGCGGATAGCTCAAAATGCGTATGGATAACACGCCACTTGAATTGAAAGTGGCGTGTATGTTTACGCAAAGTCATGGTGTCATGTTGTTGTGTTGGAGTTTGTGTTGTGCTGGAGGCAGGTCGTTTTGGGTTGTTATCAGACTCCATGTCGTCAGCTGCAGTGCCGTCGGTCGCATAGACTATATAAAAAGGAGAGAGGCTCGGGAGCGCGCGTGCACGTCACATCCGATGGATTTCGCGGTAAATCCGACCCGGAGCCTTCACATAGAAATAGGAATATTGGCCTTCAGAGGTAATAGCAAAACCCGACAAGTGGATCATTGTAATGTGTGATTACAACCCCTTCACACACAGGCAATAAAAAAAAGGACTCATTTTAGAAGAAAAGCTACATATAGCACCTTTAACTGTCTAATACATTATTTTTCAACCTACACATGACTGAGATTTAATTTTTGTTTTCATTAACTTTTCGCATTATTTTTGTATATGTTATAAATGTTAGTTGTATAAATCATAGGTATAAATAGTTAGCAATATTTGGCGCGTTTATTTGGCATCACCGCGCTGACGTCATTAGTAGTTTCCTTCCTCGGTCAGCGCGTTTGTTGTGTCTTCTGCAGTTCAGATATTTCGCGTATTTACACACCCAACATTTACAGGGTTATTTCTGAATTGTTTTCATCGGATAAAGCGCCAAATGTGCGTCTTTTCTGGCGCCTGTAGACTGATAATCGTGATATTCAAAGCATGAAATATCGACATCGTGTTAATTTAGAGTGTGGCAATATACCGGTATTGGCGATAACCACAATGTTTAAAATGAATAGGACTGTTATGATACATGACACGTAAATACTCCAGCGCGAGTACCAGTGATGGGAATAACGGCGTTATAAATAACACCGTTACTAACGGCATTACTTTTTTCAGTAACGAGTAATCTAATTAATTACTCTTCTCATCTTAATAACGCCGTTACCGTTACTGCCAAAAAATGCAGCGCGTTACTATAACTGATGAAGCTTCTTTTTTTTTTTTTTATCAGACCAGCTAGATCTCTGAGCAAGAGGCAAATACTTTTTTTACTGTTCATCCTTGGTTAGTGGGCAGAGCACGAGACAAGCGCATAAATGCTGACGATTGGCTGAGGTAGAGTAAAATGTCATTGTAAGCCAATCAGAGGTAGAGTTGGGCGGGTGTTCGAAAGCACGCATAGTAGTGATGGGCATTCGGCTCTTTTGACTCAGCTCACTGAAAAGAGCCGGCTCTTTTGGCTCACAAACGGCTCTTTAAATGACTTTGACTATAATATTTAAATTTTTATTACATAATTATTTAATTTCTATAGGCTAAATTTGTAAAAATAGAGTCGGCTCTTCAGATATGCGAGCCAGCTCCCGACGTTCACCTAAAAGAGCCGGCTCTAGAGTCGCCTCATTCGCGAATCGCGAACGACCCATCAAAAGCTCATTCGCGAACGAGTCGATCCATCACTAGTCTCAGCCTCAGACGTCACGCCCATGGAACGTTGGCTAAACGTCTGATGCATATGGTACACTTAACTGGAAACACTTCAGGAATGTTGAAGTCGTCATCTGATTGGTTGAATTTTATCGGATTTCCGGGGGGCACGAGTGTCGCGTTTGTTTTCGGTCCGCCGGAAAACAAAGCGCAGACGTGTGATTGCGGAAGAAAAACTGTTGTAGTGACAATGAGCATTTATCAAGATCAGCTAAACGTAGGATTCTCAAAAGTATGCGAGGTTCACGGCATAGACTCTTGAAGTTTTCTTTTCCTTCTTTGATTTTCTATGCTGACTGACTTGTTGCACGCAGGTCTGTTGTTGTGGGGACATTTCCACGCACCGAAACGTGACGCTGAACGAAACGATCTGTAATTGGTTGTTTTACATGTCGGTCAAACGGCCTTATGGGCGGGCCTTGGCCAAAGAAAGCTGCTATGAGTTCCAGACCTTCAGCCGTCAGTCTGTAGGTCTGGCTATGCGAGACTAATCCATCACTAACACTCATTCGCGAACGACCCATCAAAAGCTCATTCGCGAACGAGTCGATCCATCATCACTAACGCTCATTCGCGAACGACCCATCATCACTAACGGCTAGCTCATGAATTGTGAATATCTACATACATGGCATTTGATTGGAGGCTAGTCTCACTTTGTCCCACAGCAACATTTTTTTTTTTTTTTAGATGTGTGTACAATGTTTCATGTTTCTGTTAATAATGTATTTTATTAAGTGTCCATTTCATTATAATATTCAGATTTATCATAAATAATTGAACATGCACATGTATTTTAAGTTCCGTTAAAGATGGGTAGAGGTGGGGTCACATTTGAGCATTTAAAATTAAATTTTACTTGAAAGTAACGCAATAGTTACTTTCTTAAGTAACCAGTTACTTTTAAAATTTGTAACTGAGAACTAATTTAGTTACTTTTTGGAAGAAGTAACTAGTAACTGTAACTAATTACTTTTTAAAAGTAACTTGCCCAACACTGGCGAGTACCTGGTTGACCTCTCAGCTGTATTGCACCCGCTGACTCTATCAAAGAAGAAGACGCAGCCCGGGCCGCGCAGCTACTCTGAGAAGAACGTCGTCTGAGCGAGAGAGTGAAACACACCCGAAAAAAGTAAGCTCGCCTGTATGGGAGTTCTTCGGCTCAAAAGAAAACAGCACTTTAAAGGGGGTCGCACACCGGACGAGAAGCGCAGCGCCACGTCTTTAAAATTCGAACACATTTTCTCTTCGAGTGTACACACACCGGCGGTGCCGTTCGGCGTCTGTCCGCGGCGCCCAGCAACGACTCTTTACATAGTTTTATATTAAATTTACATTTTATTTGTCTCAAATCATCGTAAATGACTTCACCCTGTGCTGCAATGTACATTTAGTTTTACATTAATTTACATAAATCAGCTGCTTGAATGAAAATTGCTGATGTTATCGGATTTTCAGGTGATATTCTCAATTCATGTTAATGGACGCTCTGAGGTAAAGTGTTCAGATCACAGACTCAGCAACTATTGTACAGTACAATCATAACATAGTACAGGCATTATCTTAATTTCATAATCTCCTTAAACATAAGAATACTGCTGGCCATAAACTGAGAAAGTGCGCGTCCGGTGTGCGATACCTCGAGTTGTCCTACATGCGACGCGGCGGTGCAGAATGTGTAGCCACCAACCTTTTTACCCATCTCCGTGTCCACCCTGTGGATTATGCAATTTTACAGAGAATACATTGCAATTATTTTACTAGTCATGGAATGGGAAATGTGACATTAACATGTTAACAGG